ACAATTTGATGGATTGATCAGACCGCCCCTTAAACTGTTTATAGCCATTTTGACAAAAAAGTCACTCAGATTATATATATATAAATATATGTGTGTTCCCCCTTCACAACGAGCATCTGCCCGGCGCGATTTGTGACATTTTTACTGAAGTCTATGAATTGAGATGAAATTGTGTGTTGAGAAATGAAGGGGAGGCCACACTTTGTTAACAGGACAGTTGCCCTTTTAGGGGGCAAACAGCAGTTTTTGTGTGGAGAATGAGCCAGGCAGAGCTCTCTGTCTCTCACACACACATTGGAACTGATTGCAGTGTTTTTTTTCAGTGAGTTTCAGTGCAAATGACATCACCACTTTTGTGCCGGCTGTTGCAATGTCTTTTATTTTATATCCTATATGTGTCAGGATTTTTATTATTATTATTGCTCCAATTTTCTGTCCCCCCCCAAATCTGTTACTAATTTCCCACGCGTTGTGTGTTTGTGAGAGAGAGAGTTTGACAAACATTCACAGCGTTCGGTTCGCGGCACAATGCTGCGGTTTACCGTTTCTCTCACTAACAGAAAACTCGGGGCTGCAAAATACACCATTATTATTAAATACAAACACTCCGATTTACACTCATTATAGAGCAATAATTTACACTCTTCGGGCAAATAAAAGCGATGATTTTTATCCCGAAAACGAGCGAGTTAGCAGCCTGTTAGCCTTTAACTTATTATTAATAATATTATTTAACACAGCTTGTGTTTGTTTTCTAACCACAATTTGCCTTTTGTGTGGCTATAAATCCCGGGGTTTTCGCACTGTAAATTCCCCTTAAATCCACGTTCTGTTTATGACGATATTTCTGTTAAACATAAATGTTCTGATTTCAGTCTCGCATCGACTACTTGACAATTTTTATTTTTTTGTTCTATTTAACCGTCAGTGGACACTCCCTGAACATTTAATTTCTCTTTTACAAACGAATTTATTATTTTAAAAATTAAGAAAAAACGAAATTGTGGACAAGCGTGGCTTAGAGAGTATTTTCTACAAGAATAGGTATAAAAATCCGATACACACCACACACAAATAAACACATACACAGCCCCACAAATACACATATATACACACTAGCGCACATACATACACACACATACATACATACACACACATACATACACACACACACACACAAAGGTGCTGGAATGCTCTCTGTTTTTAGTGTGAGTGCCGGGAGTTGTGTCGCGGACGGCGGGGACACGGTGGGAGCTGGGGCTAAGTTTACAGTTAATATTAAATAGTTTGTATTATTTTGGGTTAGTGCTCTCTCCTCTCAGCCCGAGTCGGGCCGGGCTCACTGACACTCCCTGCTTGTCACTGCCTCACTCACTGACACAAACCTGAGGGGTTCTCTCCCCCCTAAAGCCGAGGACTTGTCGCTCGCCTCCCAGCTCGGCACTGGCTCCGGGGTAAAAGCAGCGGCTCTGGTAACCGGGAGAAACGTTCCCCTCGGGAGTTCCCCGGGGAGGGGAGGGCAGTGACTGGCTGCAGTGCGGGGCATTGGGGACAGAGGCTATTTCAGGGCTGTTTCTCTCGGCTCCTCTCAGGCCAGTGAGAGAGCGAGGGCAGATTGCACCCTGTTACACTTTATCTTCCTTCACTTTCTTTCTTTTTCTCTCTCTCTCTTTCTTTCTCTCACTCTTTTTTTCTTTTTTTTCTTTCATTGGATTTCGTTTTGTTTCGTTAATAAAGTTCAACGAGAATATAAAACAATTAATTAAATACATACACACATATATACATATGTATTATATATAATAGCCGGCACACAGTCCAGGCGGGCGGCATGGGACTCAGCCCAGGTTTGGGGTGGTTTAGCTGGGATGAGAGCGGATTTGGTTGGGATGACAACGGGAGACACAGAAACCTCAGGTTTTGGGAGGGTGTCTCGGGGGGGGGGGGGGGGGGTTGCCCTGAGCCCGCGCAGAGAGAGGGGAAGGGGAGGTAAGATCCTCTCTAACCTTCAACAAAGTGTAGTGCTGGGGAGTGTTGTAGGAGAGAAAAACGGTTGCATATAGGCTCCCGAAACGTTTGCACATTTACACAGTGGGTTCGGCTGTGCGGATACACGGGTTGAGTGTCTCACTGAACAGTATAAAGTGGAGTTTGGGGGATTTTTTCGCTCGCTTCTGCGGGACTCGGTTTAAATAGTCCCGACCAGGTGCTGAGTAAAACTGTCTTACTCCACATTTACAGAGCGTTTTATTAATATATTCTTCATCTCTCAACACTCCACCTATTAGCTGTATATTTATAACACATTTCTGCTGACTAACACTTTCATAACTAGTTTTATAAACATTTCCTTGTGAGTAACTGTCTCGGGACAACCCGCCGGGGAGGGAGTGTGGTAAAATAATAATAATAATAATAAGGTCACTCAATCCACGATTGTTTGTGAGTCTGAATGCAATTGGCTGACGCGTTTCGTCCACAAAATATAGTCGCTACACTTTACAGTATATTCTGTGAAGCGCTTTGAGACGTGAAAAGCGCTATATCAAATGCCAGGATTATTTTATTATTACATTCTATACAGTATTCACACATACATTAACAGTATTTCTATTCACTCCTAATCAGGTCTTTTCCTTTTGTAGGTCATTTATATAATATTCACGCCATATGTTAACAATTTATCTCTTTATATATAAACTCACATCATTGGGTCTTATCCGTTTCTAAATACTTTATATGTAAAATAATAATAATAAT